CATCACCGATCACCTGAAACCCACCTTGCTCATAACCAAAACTGCCCATGTTGGTCCTCTGCCCTGGACCTGTGACATTCTGGACTATTTCTGTGTTTACTTGTAGCCACGTATAACACCCATACAATAAATCACATCTTCCGCAGTCTTAGCTGAAGAATTAAAAAAAAAAGAAAAGAAAAACAATAAAAATTTGACACCAAGCTCTTCCCTGCTGAAGATCTACTAGTGCAATTACTGAAACACACAAGACAAATTCTGTAAAAATGAGAAAATTTTCAAATGCCACAAAAAGGGCATAGTATTTAACTTCAAAAGAAGACATAGTTCAACAATAACAAGCTACACACTAACCAGCAGAACTGCAATGGCATTAAAAGTATACCCCATTATTTCCCAGAGGAAATAAATAACATAGAAGTATCCAACCAATCTAGAAATAAGTGCCTATCTGGAACTTTCACAATTAGATACACCTCCATTAATTGTATGAGTGTGAAATTAAATACCACCAAATCTAATTTAACAATCTCTAATGACAACTCAGTAAGATATATATAAATCTGGAGATCAAGATAAACCAAGTAACTAAAACAATCTAAAATCCTTAGAACACTGTAAACTTATGAGAGGAAGTTTTCACAACCCCCAGGCTTTGAGGAAGTTTTGGTCCCCTGGATGAACTTAGCTGTTTCCATAAATACAGTGGGTACACAAAACAACCTAATGAAGGAGCAGAAAGAGAACTTTGAGCCTCAGCTGCATTTTTGCTGAGCTGTAATACTGGTAAAGCCTGTTTCAAGATTCAAGAGTCAACCCTCAAAATTAAAGAAAGCATGTAAACAGAGGGCTGTCATGTACATTTCATCACATTTACCAGAATGATGTTTCATAAAAATTACACATATTCATTATCAAACTTCAAACAGCATTACTATCATTACTGTGGTTCTACCCAAAAGAAACCTCCTAGTCACCATTATCCAGTTTGTTAAAATAGCTTTTCAAAAAGAAATCAATCATTAAGATGTCTCTATACAATTATGGAATTCATAATTTCAAATAATGTGCATAATGCCTAAGAAAAAGAGAACGAATCCAATAAAAGTCAGCTATTACCATTACCATTATCATGGTAATATTTTCAAATTAAGGAACAGAAACTTATTCATAGAGAGGCCTTAATAATAAGTTACTTTGTCAGAATCCAAGTTGGCCTATCACAACCTGGAATAGTTAGATATTAAAAGGACTTTGTTTTAGAGGAGTCAAAGTTAGATTCTTTGGGTTCCAAAGGAGTTAGTAAAGATGAAATAATTTCTGCATAAAGAATTAATACTCAAGCCTGTAATCCCTGCACTTTGGGAGGCCAAGACGGGCGGATCACGAGGTCAGGAGATCGAGACCATCCTGGCTAACATGGTGAAACCCTGTCTCTGCTAAAAAATACAAAAAACTAGCCGGGCGCGGTGGCGGGCACCTGTAGTCCCGGCTACTCAGGAGGCTGAGGCAGGAGAATGGCGTAAACCCGGGAGGCGGAGCTTGCAGTGAGCTGAGATCTGGTCACTGCACTCCAGCCTGGGCGACAGAGAGAGACTCTCAAAAAAAAGAAAAAAGAAAAAGAAAAAAAAAGAATTAATATATTTTTGACCGGGCGCGGTGGCTCACGCTTGTAATCCCAGCACTTTGGGAGGCCGAGGCAGGTGGGCCACGAGGTCAGGTGTTCAAGAGCAGCCTGGCCAAGATGGTGAAACCCCTTCTCTACTAAAAATACAGAAATTAGCCAGGCATGGTGGCAGGCACCTGTAATCCCAGCTACTCGGGTGGTTGAGGCAGGAGAATCACTTGAACCCGGGCAGCAGAGATTGAAGTGAGCCAAGATCACGCCACTGCACTTCAGCTTAGGAGATGGAGTGAAACACCATCTCAAAAAAGAATTAATGTAGTTTTTGCAAAGTTTTTCTGGTACAGAAATCTGTATTTTTAAACATTTGGCAATTCAGCCTTAAGTGTTAATAACTTTTGGACCTAATGCATTTTTGTAAAGTAGTCAAGATAATGGAAGTAAGTAAATATAAATAACACAAGTAAAACAAAGGGATAGATTAGAATTCTGCATTAGAAAGTGAAAGGAGGGCCAGGTGTGATGGCTCACGCCCGTAATTCCAGCACTGAGGCAGGTGGATCGCTTGAGGTCGGGAGTTCAAGACTAGCCTGGCTAACACGGTGAAATAACGTCTCTACTAAAAATACAAAAATTAGCCAGGTGTGGTGGTGGGTGCCTGTAGTCTCAACTACTCAGGAGGCTGAGGCAGGAGAATCGCTTGAACCTGGGAGGCAGAGGTTGCAGTGAGTCGAGATCGCGTTACTGCACTCCAGCCTGGGCAACAGAGCAAGAGTCCGTCTCAAAAAATAAAAAATAAAAAAAAAAGTTAATCTACATCCGAAAAATGTAAGTATTTCGTCAAAATTAAGATTGTCTGGCAGGATAATACTACACTCTGATCCTAGGAGAAAGGAAAAAGGCTAATATGCCTTGACTAATTTTTTTGTCTTTTTTCCGATAGAAGAACCATGTGGGTTTAATCTTTCCAAAGATTCACAGAAAATAAATAACACATAAATTGGTAAGGAAAAAAAAAAAGAACTAAACACGTTTGACAACATGCCTTCTACTAGTCTCCAGCGTGGGTGTACCGGCATTATAAGGGAGCAAGACCAAGCAAGCACCTTTTCGGACAGACATCTTAGATTAACAAGCAGACGCAGTATCTGTTTATACACTTACAAGAGTATGTTTAAAGCCTGTATTTTTTAAATGGCTTACAAAAAAAGGTATATAAAAACATAATTTTGGCCACACACACACACACAGAGTATTATAACTAAATTTATACTTTTATACTTTTCTTTCAGACACAAGCACTTACCAGGTATCTGCTTCATCTTCAAACTCAAAAAAAAAAAAAAAAAAAATTATAGAAACCCCTATGAAGTCTATTAAGTCCTTCACTCAACCATTTTTTTTTTTTTTGAGATGGAGTTTCACACTTGTTGCCCAGGCTGGAGCGCAATGGCGTGATCTCAGCTCATGGCAACCTCAGCCTCCCAGGTTCAAGTGATTCTCCTGCCTCAGCCTCCCGAGTAACTGGGATTACAGGCATGCGCCACTACGCCTGGCTAATTTTGTACTTTTACTAGAGACGGGGTTTCTCCACGTTGGTCAGGCTGGTCTCAAACTCCCGACTTCAGGTGATCCACGTGCCTCGGCCTCCCAAAGTGCTGGGATTACAGGTGCGAGCCACTGCGCCCGGCCTCAACCATTCATTTATATGTATATTAAATATTAGAAACTGAAGTATCAAGATATTCACCACTTCCTCTGACCACTATATTACCAAGTTTTAAACTGGGTTTCAGCTTTGAAACAAAAAATAACCACCTTTCTGAAATGCTTTTACAAAATCATAATACATATTGAAACATATCCAGAAAAATTAGAAAATATAGGTAAGCATAAAGAAGGAAAGATTTTTTTGTTTTTGTTTTTTTGAGACGGACTCTTGTTCTGTCACCCAGGCTGGAGTGCAGGGGCAAAATCTTGGCTCACTGCAAACTCTGCCTCCTAGGTTCAAGCAATTCTCCTGCCTCAGCCTCCCAAGTAGCTAGGACTACAGGTGTGTGCCACCATGCCCAGCTAATTTTTGTAATTTTAGTAAAGACAGGGTTTCTCCATGTTGGCCAGGCTGGACTCAAGCTCCTGACCTCAAGGGATCCACCCGCCTCGGCCTCCCAAAGTGCTAGGATTATAGGTATGAGCCACCGTGCCTGGCCAGCAGTAAAGTTTAACTGACTATAATCTTAGTTACCAGAAATCAAACAGCTAGGTGCCTAAAACTTATTCTAAAATGTGTATACAGTACAAAATTTTTGGTTCTAGTTCCTTTACAAATTAAAACATCTGGCTAGGCATGGTGGCTTGAGCCTAGTCCAGCACTTCCGGAGGCTGAGGCAGGCAGGACACTTGAGATCAGGAGTTTGAGACCAGCCTGGCCAACATGGTGAAACCCTGTCTCTACTAAAAATACAAAACACTAGCCAGATGTGGTGGTGGGCGCCTGTAATCCCAGCTACCAGGGAGGCTGAGGGAAGAGAATCACTTGAACCTGGAAGGCAGAGGTTGCAGTAAGCAGAGATGATGCCACTGTACTTCAGCCTGGGCAACACAGCAAGACTCTGTCTCAAAAAAAAAAAAAAAGCCGGGCACGGTGGCTCATGCCTGTAATCCCAGCACTGCAGGAGGCTGAGGCAGGCGGATCACTAGAGGTCAGAAGTTCAAGACCAGCCTAGCCAACATAGTGAAACCTTATCTCTATTAAAAATACAAAAATTTAGCAGGGCATGGTGGCACCTATAATCCCAGCTACTTGGGAGGCTGAGGCTCAGTGAGCTGAGATGGTGTCACTGCACTCCAGCCTGGGCGACACAGCGAGACTCCAACTCAAAAAAAAAAAAAACTAAAATATCTTGAAAAGGATTACTTAAGGAGTTAAAGTTGAAAATAATTCTATGCAAACACAAGTTTAGGCAGTTCAAGTGTAAAACATACATAACTGAAAATTAACTCCAGAGAAGGAGATGTGTATGACAAAAAAACAGCCTCCAAACACTTGAAGGAAAAAAAAATACTCAACTAAACATTTGAAAATTATTTTTTCAAGTACTAGTCTGTCCAAAGCAAATAAGGAGGACTCAGCTGGGCAAAGCAGCACACTCCTATATTCCCAGCTACTCAGGAGGCTGAGGCAGAAGGATCACCCTGTTCAGGCCAGGAGTTTGAGGCTACAGTAAACTATGATGGCACCACTGCACTCTGACAACAGAGTGAGAATATGTCTAAAAAAAAAAAAATGATTCCACTTACATAAAAATTAAAAATCTGTAGCTGCATGCAAACTTAAAAAAATTATTTAAAAAATTATTTTTAAATTGTACTTTACCTTTGAGATTCCTAGAATGTATAACCAACTCTCTCCAGTACACTTACCCCTAAAGAAAAAAAAAAGAAAAAGGAAAAAATAATAAACTGAATGTGTTACCACTGGAATGTACCTACTTTCGCTATTAAACTATCTACAAACATTATGAGTGGCTGGGCGCAGTGGCTCATGCCTGTAATCCCAGTAGTTTGGGAGGCCGAGGCAGATGAATTACTTGAACTCAGGAGTTCGAGACCAGTGTGGGCAACATGGCAAAACCCTACCTCCACAAAAAATACAAAACTTGTATTTAAAATTCGTCTGGTCAAACAAAAATAAAATACAAAACACAAAAATTAGCCAAGCACGGTGTCATGTGCCTGTGGTCCCAGCTACTGGGAAGGCTGAGGCAGGGGAATCTCTTGAGTCAGGGAGATGGAAGCTGCAGTGAGCTGTGATCACGCCACTGCACTCCAGCCTGCATGACAGACCAAGACCTTGTCTCTAAAACAAAAACAAAAATCAGTATTAGGGGTAATTATTCTAAATAAACTAATTAAACTGAAGCATACATTTACAGAGCAGCAAGTTTTATATTGTTAGTTGCACCAACAAAAGATCAGTACATATTGTCACAATTTCCAGAATGCCATGATCAGGTAGTGTCACCTTGTTAGGTAATAAGAACTATGTGCCATCACTGGAGAGCAGCTCACAAACCCTCAGTGGAGCCAGCTTGGTAAAGTGAGACGTGACAACGCTGTGACGGTGGCTAAGAAAGCACCAGGAGAATAAAGTTCTTGGGGTTTTTTGTTTTTTTTTTTTCTTTTTTGGAGACTGAGTTTTGCTCTTGTTGCCCAGGCTGGAGTGCAGTGGCGTTGATCTCGGCTCACTGCAACCCTAGGTTCAAGCGATTCTCCTGTCTCAGCCTCCTGAGTAGCTGGGATTACACGCGTGAGCCACCAAGCCCAGCTAATTTTTTGTTGTTTTTTTTTTTTTTTTTTTTTTTTTTTTTATTTTTTTTTTTTTTTTTTTTTTTTTTTTTTTTTTTTTTGAGACGGAGTCTTGCTCTGTCGCCCAGGCTGGAGTGCAGTGGCGTGAGGTCAGCTCACTGCAAGCTCCGCCTCCTGGGTTAATTTTTATTTTTTGAGATGGAGTTTCGCTCTGGTTGCCCAGGCTGGAGTACAATGGCACAATCTCATCTCATCGCAGTTTCCACCTGCTGTGTTCAAGCGATTCTCCTGCCTCAGCCTCCCGAGTTGCTGGGATTACAGGCGCCTGCCACCACGCCCAGCTAATTTTTTGTATTTTTAGTAGAGACAGGGTTTCACAGTGTTAGCCAGGATGGTCTCGAACTCCTGACCTCGTGATCCGCCCGCCTCGGCCTCCCAAAGTGCAGGGATCACAGGTGTGAGCCACCGCGCCCGGCCAAATTTTTTTTAATTGGCTGGGTGTGGTAGCTCACCCCTCTAATCCCAGCACTTTGGGAGGCCAAGGTGGGCAGTTCACCTGAGGTCAGGAGTTCAAGACCAGCCTGATCAACATGGTGAAACCCCATCTCTACTAAAAATACAAAATTAGCTGGGCATGGCGGCACATGCCTGTAATCCCAGCAACTCGGGAGGCTGAGGCAGGAGAATCGCTTGAACACAGCAGGTGGAAACTGCGATGAGTTGAGATTGTGCCATTGTACTCCAGCCTGGGCAACCAGAGCGAAACTCCATCTCAAAAAATAAAAATTACAACAATTAATTAACCGGGTGTGGTGGCGCATCCCAACCTACTCAGGAGGCTGAAGTGGGAGGATCGCTTGAGCCCAGGATGTCAAGGCTGCAATGATCCCTGATAGTGCAACTGAACTCCAGCCTAGACAACAGAGCAAGACTTGTCTCAAAATTCAAATTCCTGGGCTCAAGTAATCTGTCCATCTCGGATTCCCAAAGTAAAATGTGCATCTTCTATGTGTAAAGTAAACATGGCAAAATGTTAACAGCAAATCTAGGTGAAGGATAGATGAATGTTTGCTGAACAACTCTTCTGTAGGCTTACAATTTTTCAAAGAGTTGCAAAAATAATATTTAAAAGTTATGGATTACAAAAAAACAAAACCTGCTGGGTTCAGTGGCTCATGCCTGTAACCCTAACCCTTTGGGAGGCCAAGGCAGGCGATCACTTTAGGTCAGGAGTTCAAGACCAGGCTTGCCAACATGGTGAAACCCCATCTCTACTAAAAATACAAAAAACTAGTCAGGTGTGGTGGCACGTGCCCGTAGTACCAGCTACTCAGGAGGCTGAGGCAGGAGTATCTCTTGAACCCAGGAGGCGGAAGTTGCAGTGACTTGAGATGGCGCCACTGCACTCCAGCCTGGACCACAGAGCAAGACTCTATCTCAAAAAAAAAAAAAACAAAAAGAAAAAAAACAAAACAGCAGAAAATAGGGAAAGATACAAATAATAATTTAGCACGTATATTCTGCCTCCCAGAATTAACTGTTAATTGTCACAGTTGTGTCTAGCCTCAAAAAAAAAAAAATTATAGCTATCGGGCTGGGTGCGGTGGCTCACGCCTGTAATCCCAGCACTTTGAGAGGCTGAGGTGGGCAGCTCACGAGGTCAGGAGATCAAGACCATCCTGGCCAACATGGTGAAACCCCGTCTCTACTAAAAAATACAAGAAATTAGCTGGGCATGGTGGCGGGCGCCTCGGGAGGCTGAGGCAGGAGAATGGCGTGAACCCGGGAGGTGGAGCTTGCAGTGAGCCGAGATCGCGCCACTGCACTCCAGCCTGGGCGACAGAGTGAGACTCCGTCTAAAACAAAAAAAAAAAAAAAATTGTAGATATCATCCCCTTTGCCACTACCTCCCATTCATATTCCCTTATAGACATGAAATTATAGAGTATGCTTATTTTCAACTTTATTTGACAGTATTTGCTGCAAATACTGTCTCCAAAAGCAGCTGTAACAGTTTACGCTCAACCAACAGTTTTTCCTCCTCCCAACAGTAACTGGTAGCAGTTTCTTTTTTTTTTAATTTTTTATAAATTTTTTCTTTTTTAATAAAGATGGGGGTCTCACTTTGTTGCCCAGGCTGTTCTTGAACTCCCCAGTTCATGGTCTCAAGTGGCCCTCAACCTCCAAAAGTGCTAAAATTACAGGCAGGAGCTACCACCCCTGGCCAGTAGTTTCCAAAATTACCATTTTTGCCACATCTTCACCAATATTTGATATTGTCAGACACGAAATTTTTTTTTTTTTTTTGAGGTAGAGTCTCACTCTGTTGCCCAGGCTGGAGTACAGTGGTGCGATCTCAGCTCACCTCAACCTCAGCCTCCCGGGTTCAAGGGATTCTCCTGCCTTAGCCTCCCAAGTAGCTGGGATTACAGACATGTGCCACCACGCCCGGCTAATTTTTAAATTTTTAGTAGAGACGGGGTTTCACCATGTTGGCCGGGTTGGTCTCAAACTCTTGAGCTCAGGTGATCCGCCCACCTCGGCCTCCCAAAGTGCTGGGATTACAGGTGTGAGACACTGCATCCAGCCCAGACATGAAATTTTTTTTATAAATCTAATGTGAAAAACATATTTTCACTTATTTTGGCTTTCACTTCCTTGATTACTAATCAGTTACACTGATTGTAATTCAGTGCTAATTCTAGCACCAATATCGCTTTCTAGAGCTCCTTTGCTTTCATTTTGACAGAAGCAAATTTGTGGCCCTCAACATACTGAATAAGAGAGCAATTAAGAAACAATGCAGCTGGACACAGTGGCTCATGCCTGTAATCCCAGCACTTTGGGGGGCCAAGACGGGCAGATCACGAGGTCAGGAGTTCAAGATCAGCCTGGCCAATATGATGAAATCCCGTCTCTACTAAAAAATACAAAAATTAGCCGGCCGTCATGGCACCTGCCTGTAGTCCCAGCCCAGGAGGGAGACTGAGGCAGGAGAATCGCTGGAACCCGGGAGGCAGAGGTTTCAGTGAGCCGAGATCATGCCACTGCACTCCAGCCTGGGAGACAAAGTGAGACTCCCTCTCAAAAAAAAAAAAAGAAAACAAAAAGAAACAATGCCAGGCGTGATGGTGCCTACCTATAGTCCTAGCTACTTGGTAAGGCTGAGGCAGGAGGATCACTTGAGTTCAGGAGTTCAAGTCCAGCCTAAGCAATGCAGCAAGACCTTGTTTCAAAAAAAAAAAAGAAGGAAGAAAGAAGGAAGAAGAATGAGGAGAAATAAAACAATCTAGGATCACACAGTAAAAGGTAAAAGAACCTAAGCAAAACAAGAACTTCACCTACAGATTCTCCCTTTTATTACATCATACAAAGTGAAGAATAATCAAACCTACATGGCAGCATGTACCAAGAATGATTAGTCCCCAAATGAAACCAAATGCTCACAAAAGCACAACATAGTGCTGGGAAATAATTTTCTGTATTTAAAAAAATGTAAGATGGCCAGGCATGGTGGCTCACTCCTGTAATCCCAGCACTTTGGGGGGCTGAGGCAGGTGGATCACTTGAGGTCAGGAGGTTCAAAGCCAGCCTGACCAACATGGTGAAACCTGCTTCCTATTAAAAATGCAAAAATTAGCCAGGTATGGTGGCAGGCACCTGTAGTCCCAGCTACTGGGGAGGCTGAGACAGGAGAATCACTTGAACCCGGGAGGCAGAGGTTGCAGTAAGCTGAGATCGTGCCACTGCACTCCAGCCTGAGTGACAGAGCAAGACTCCATCTCAAAAAAAAAAAAAGTAAGATGAAAAACATAAGATGAAATTCAACCCAGTATGTATAATACGATTTGCAAGATTTTAAATGGATGTGTTTTATTCTTAGAAATAAAATACTTAGCTTCTATAAACTCATCCATTCATTTATTTAATCAGCAAGTATTTACTTAGCACCTATTGTGTGCCATCCACTATTCTGGAACAGCAGTGAAGACAAAGTCTCTATTGTCATGAAGCTAACATTCAAGGAAGAAAAGAAAAAGATTAAAATACTCTATAAATATACGTACAAGCGACATAAAGGGGAAGAGGACCAAGAATGACAACGAGAGTGATGTAAGGA